TTTTATTTTAAGATAGAGTTTTGCTGAATTGAGGCTGGCCTTAAACTTGGGATCGTCTTGCCTTAGCTTCCTTAGAAGCTGGGATTATAGGCATGTGCCACTATGCCTTGTGTTCACATTTTGGGGCGGGGGTGGTGGTGGTGGTGGTGGTACTGGGGATTGAACTCAGGGACTCTTGACCACTGAGCCACACCCCCAGCCCTATTTTGTTTTTTATTTAGAGACAGTGTCTCACTGCGTTGCTTAGTGCCCCACTTCTGCTGAGGCTGGCTTTTTTTCTAAGATGTTGATGGAGCTTTATTTTTATTTTATTCATTTATATGTGGTGCTGAGAATTGAACCCAGTTCCTCACACTTGGTAGGCAAGTGCTCTACCACTGAGCTCCCAGCCCCTGAGGCTGTCTTTGAACTCTCAATCCTCCTGCCTCAGCCTCCTGAGCCACAGGGATTACAGGTGTGTGCCACCGCACCTGGCCTGTGTCCACATTTTTGTGTGCATGTTTTCATTTCTCTGGAGCAATAATTAGGAATGAAATTTTGTATCTCTCTCTTACTGTTTGAGGAACTAACTGCCTGTTTTTGAAAGTAGCTGTACCATACCATTTTACATTCCCAGCAGCATTATATGAGGGTTCTAATTTTCCCATATTTTTAAAAATATTTTTTTAAGTTGTATATGGACACAATGCCTTTTATTTTATTTTTATGTGGTGCTAAGGATCGAACCCAGTGCCTTACACTGCACCACTGAGCTACAACTCCAGCCCCCTGATTTTTCCCATATTCTTTTTTTTTTTTTAGTTGTAGATGGACATAATACGTTTATTTTGTTTATTTAATTTGTTTATGTGGTGCTGGGGATAGAACCCAGTACCTCACGCATGCCAGGCAAGTGCTCTACCACTGCCACAAGCCCAGCCCCGATTTTCCCCATATTCTTGCCAACATTTCTTGTCTTTTTGATTCTAGCCATTCTAGTGCAATTGAAATGGAAGGTCCTTGTTATTTTGCTGTACATTTCCCTGATGGTTGATGTTATTGAACATCTTTTCATGTGCTTATTGTCCATTTGTGTATTGTCTTTAGAAAAATATCTGTTCAGTTCAGGTTCTTTGTCCGTGTTTTCAGTTGAATTCTTTCTTTTTATTAATAAATTGTAAGACTTATTAAACTGCATAGAAGTTCCTTATCATGAGGTTTGCAAATATTTTCTCCCGTTTTTTAGATTGTTTTTTCTTTTTATTGATAGTGTTTTTTGAAGCAAAAAAAGCTTTGTTTTCCAAAGATCCAATTTATTTATTTATTTTTGTTGTTGCCTTTTGTGTCATATCTAAGGATCTTTTGCCCAATCCAAATTCATAAAAATTTACCTTTATGTATTTTTCTGAGAAGTTTATAATTCTAGCCCTTGCATTTTTGATCCTTTTTGAGTGTATATCTATGCCTATATGTATGGGGAAAGCAATCATTTTGCCCTTTGTGTGTGGGGGTGGGGAGGTGCATGGGAATTGATTGAACCTAAGGGCATTTACCACTGAACTACATTCTTAGCCCTTTTTAATTATTTAGTTTAAGGCAGGGCCTTACTAAGTTGTGCAGGCTGGCCTCCAGGTTGTGATGCTCTTGCCTCGGACTTCCAGGCTGTTGGGATTACAGGAGTGCACCACTGTACCCAGCTTGCCTTTGTGTTGGTTTTTGTTTGTTTGGTTGGGTTTTTTTGTTATTGTAGTTATAGATGGACAGCATGCCTTTAATTTGTTTATTTTTTAAATGGTGCTGATGATTGAACCCAGAGCCTCACACGTGACAGGCAAATGCTGTGCCAATAAGCTACATCCCCAGCTCTCTTGCCTTAGTTTTTAAGAGATAGGTTTCTTGGTTGGCATTTTTTTCTTTGAGTATTTTTAGTATTTTATTCCACTGTCTTCTGAACTCCATTGTTTTTGCTTAGAAGTCAGGTGTTATTCTTAACTGGGTTGCTGTATGTTATGTTGTTTTTCTGTTTTCAAGAGTTTCTCCTTGTCTTTGCCTTTGAGCATTTTTTCTGTGATCCATCTATTTACAGATCTCTATGTGTTCATATTACTTGATGTTTGTTGAGGTTCCTATTTGTGTAGGTTGTTCTTTTTCTTTTTCTTTTTTTAGGGTGTGTGTGGGGGGGCAGGGCAGGTAGAGGATTGAATTCAGGGGCACTCAACCACTGAGCCACACCTCCAACTCTGTTTTGTATTTTATTTAGAGACAGGGTCTCACTGCGTTGCTTAATGCCTCGCCTTTGATGAGGCTGGCTTTGAACTCTTGATCCTTTTGTCTCAGCCAGGCATTTGCCACTGCACCTGATTATTATTTTTCAATAAATTTTTGAAGAGTTCCTTTCTCACCCCTCTTTGACAGTTTTACATATTTTTCTGATGCTCAGTTTATTTTTCTCCATTCTAGCCCCCCACCTTTGTATTTGGTCCTGGGGAATTGAAATAATAATAAGTACATGACCTAATGTCCTACCATAGGGCTACACCACTGGCCCTTCTATTGGTTCAGTTCTACTATTGAGCCTCTCGTGATTCCCCCCCCCCCTTAATTTCAGTTATTTTTCTTTAAACTCGGGAATTCCCATTCAGTTATTTTTTTAATAACATCTGTTCACTTGTACCTTCCTTTATTTCTTTGTTTTGTGGTGCTGGGGATTGACCCAGGGCCTTGTGCATAGAGGGCAGGCACTCTACCAACTGAGCTATATCCCCAGCCCTTTCTTTATTTCTTTAATGATGGTTTCCTTTGTCTGATTTTTTTTTTTTTTTTTTTTGGTGGGGTGTGTATGGATCATTTTTTTGTTGCTTTATGATTTCTTTTGTTGTTGGAAACTTTGTTTTAGATAATGTATTGTAGGAACTCTTTTTTTTTTTCTCTCTCTCTCTTTTTTTTTTTTGGTAGCAACTCTTGGTCCAATTACTTTCCTACCCCCTGAGTTGTTACTGTGGTTTTGCTGGAGGAGCCGGGAGTGACTAGAGGGTTATTTAGTAGACTAGAGGGTCTGCTAATACTTCTCCATACTTATCCCCTAGTATTAAGCCTCTGATGTTCCTCAGGGAGGCATGCTTTTCTGTAGGCCCATAGTCATCATCATCCTGCAATGACCAAAGTACTGGTATGGTTCTCTTCTTTACTTGTCCAGATAGTACCCTCCTTATTAACATTTGTTGATTAGTGTTCCATTCCTGGCCATAAATTCCCCCCTAATTGAATGCAATCAAAGTATGGCTCTGAATTTCAGAGGTCTTAGTTGTTTTCTCTGTCCCCAGCAGAACTCCTCCCAGCTGTCTTATGCCCTGGTTCTTTGTAACAAACTATTCAGCCTACAGTCTAGATTTTTATTACATCCATGAATCTTCTTGTAGTTGTCTTTTATCACAACCTCTGCTGTTCCTTTTGTGTGTGTGTGTGTGTGTGTGTGTGTGTGTGTGGTGCTGGGGCTTGAACCAAGGACCTTACAGTAAACATGTAATGTCCTATCACTGAGCTACATACACACCTTCAGTTCTTCTTCCACTATTCTTTTCTCTTTTTTTTTTTTTTTTTTTGGTATGGGGTCTTGCTTTGTTGCCCAAGCTGGCCTTGTACTTGGGTTTCTTCTTGTAGCTGGGATTACAGGGTGTGTTCTTGAGAATACCCTTAGAAATTAAATTTGTCCATGCTTTATTGCAAATGAAGTCAAGTCCTTTGTATACTGTGTGTTCCTGCTTCATCCCTTAGGCTCAATTTATCTGAACCAAGCTTCTGGATGTATGGATGGGGATAATCATAAGCTTTTCTGTGATTGATATCTCAGCCCTAGGAGCTGAGTACCAGGGGTGGGGTGGCTGGATGGTATTAGAGTCCTGAGGTCCTTTCGATTTCCTTTTGTTATGGAACCACTGTCTCCTGAGCTGAGTGAAAGGGCTCTTGGTTACCCAATATTCTCTGCAGTATCTATAGTAGAGCCTCTGCCCTTCAAGTAGGGGTTGAGCAGAAGGGAGTCCTCTGCCTTTGATGGTACTTGTTTGGAATGGTATCAGCAAGAGGGGTCTCAGATTGATAAACCCTGAAGTCTTTAGGCTGTGTTTTTGGCTGCAATAGTCTGGAGCCAAATTGAGATTTAGGCAGTAGAGTTGATTCAGATACCACAGACTTTTATTTTTCTGAATGATTTTTCACAGCACTATTAAAATATTTTCCTTTCTTCTTCCTCCTCTTTTTTGTCCTCCCTTCTTTCTTCCTTCTTTTTTCTTCCCTCCTTCCCTCTCTCCTTCATTTTTTTGTGGTACTGGGGTCAAACCCAGGAGTGGTGTACCACTGAACTACATCCCCAACCCTTTTATTTTACTTTGAGACAGAGTCTTCCTGAAATTGCTGAGATTGACCTCAAACTCAGGATCCTCCTGCCTCAGCCTTTATAGTAGCTGGGATTATCGATGTGTGCCACAACACTTGTTAAATGCTTATCTTTTTATAATTTTCATGAGTTTCACTGAGGAGCAGTCCAGTGGAGCTCATGCTGTTTTATGCAAGTTGGTCTCCTATAACTTTGGTTTTTTAGTTTGCATTCATGCCTCTGTAAGGGATGTCTTAGAAAAACTTCATTTGTTATGGTCTCTGACCACCCCTCAAAGAATTCTTAGCATAATATTTAATGTTGCAACTTTCAGATACTATCTTGTGAGACAAGAGGCTGGGGGAATTGATTTCCCATGATTATTTTTCTTAATGAATAACTTCAGAACATGTACTCTATATGAGTACAGAGTTTGTAAAGCAAATGAAAATAGTAGAACTGAGGAATTTAACATAGAAGGCTCAGTATTATAGCTGAGTTCTTTTCAAATTTTTCTGGAGGTGTTACAGTCAACTCTTGGCTTTTGTCACTTGTCTTGGACATCAAAATCAGTAGTCTTCTTCCTTAGTTTTGCTATCATCTTAAATTAAAATTTCTTTTGATTCTTTTAAACATTTTTTCTTTCCAGGGGCCACTCAATAGTGAGTCTTCCAACCAGAGCTTATGCAGCGTGGGGTCCTTGAGTGATAAAGAAGTAGAGGTAAGAATCTATTCAGTGCAAGAATTTTTGTATTCTTACATTTTTAGTCTGGGTTAAAAGATAGCACTATGTAACTCCAGTGGCTCTGTGGTAGTGTGTGTGAATGGCTCCCCTTTGGGTTGATTGCTATTTGCAACTATGATGTTACCGTGAAGGAGGGTTTTTTTTTGTTGTTGTTGTTTGTTTGTTTTTAATACCTTTATATTTATTTTTTATGTGGTGCTGAGGCTCCAATCCAGTGCCTCTCACACATGCTAGGCAAGCGCTCTACCACTGAGCCACAACCCCAACCCTACCCTGATGGGTTTTTATTACTGTAATCAAGTACGTGCCTTGTTTTGTTTTTTGTTTGTTTTATTATGATTACCATCAATAAAGGGCAGAAATTTGAAGTTGTGGCTTATGTAGCCTAACCTGGATATTAACACTTGCCAGCAATTCAACAGAGTAAGTTGGTCACTGGCTGACTTTAGTAATAGAATTTTCTAATTATCCTTGCAGTACTGCGGATAGAATCCAGGGGTGCTCTACCACTGAGTTCCATCCCTAGCCTATTATATTTTATTGTACCAGGTTTTGAACCAAGGGGTACCTGATCATTGAGCCATATCCCTAGGCCTTTTTACTTTTTATTTTGAGTCAGGGTCTGTCTCACTAAATTGCTTAGGGCCTTGCTAAATGGCTGAGGCTGGCTTTGAATTTATAGTACTCCTACCTCAACTTCTGCAGTCCCTGGGATTACAGGCTTTTGCCACCAGGCCCAGCTATTTTTTTTTTTTTTTTAATTTGAGGCAGGATCTCACGAAGTTGCCAAGGTTGGCCTTGAACTTGTGATCTTCTTTCCTCAGCCCCAGAAGTTGCTGGCTTTATATGTATGTGCTACCACATCAGGCTAGTAATTGAATTTGAAGGGATTTTAAAGTTAGGCGCATAACCTAGTCTCATGGATATAAATGTAAGTCAAAGCCAGCAAGGACCTACTTTGTACCATGATAAAACTTTCAATAAATTGTAGTCAGTTTATCGATTATGCAGATCTTTTTACAGAATATCTTATTTAAGCTTTTTAGCTACTCTTATCTACAGGTGAATAAATTAAAGATCTGACATTTTAAGCATTTTGCCAAAAGTTGCTTAGAGGATTTGGATCTATACCCTGTACTTTTTCTTTTCCTCTGTTCTAAGGATAGGATGCTGTTTGAGGATTGTCTGTGACAGTTCTATTTCTATTATATGTGTGATATTCTCATTTTTTCTAATGTGAAAAATTTACCAAAATGCTAATTTTGACTTATATGGTATTTAACAGACTCCTGAAAAAAAGCAGAATGACCAGCGAAATCGGAAAAGAAAAGCTGAACCATATGAAACTAGCCAAGGTAGTAATACTTTCACACCAATGAAAATTCTGAATTCTTATGTACTTAAGAATTTTACAGTAAATAATTAGTTTATATCCAAGGATTCCAATCAAAGAAGGTTTGTGTATCTTAAGAGAATATCAGGCTGTTTATTATATGCTTGTCATTTGATATACACCTGACAAAACCTTCAGTTCTTTGGGGATTCTTGTTTGCTCTGTTGTACTTTAACGATCTTCTCACTGCAGGATTTTCTTCAGACCTAACATGCATTGTGTAGAGAGGAGGTGACATTATAGTTTTAACTATTTCTTACATTAAATCAATGATTTGTTAATAGAGGTAGCCATAAGTGATTTCATTTTATTACTATTCTTCCATGCCAATTACTTAGTTTAGTTGCACGTTGGAGACTGGAATAAATTTATAAACGTGATAGTTTAGTGCCATATATTTTATATAATTAAAGAAAGAGTAGATAGTTTGGCTATTTCCCCCCTCTCTTTCTAAGGAGTGACAGTCTCTTCTTGCATTATTCTTAGCTTTATAAATATAGATAATTCATTGTAACTCTAAGAAGGAAAATTCTTCCAACATAACAATATTATGTAGTTCTGTGTGAAATAGAATCAACTCTGTAGTTGTGATAAGTTTGTTTGAACCTCTGTTTTCTTAAATTGGGATGTGGATTAAAGATGAAGTTTTGTTTTATTTCCCAATTATGGCACATTTTGTTAGTATTTATAAAAGGAAGGTTATTGCATCTTGATGGAAAACAAGCTGTGAAAAATTCTTTCCTGCACTCCTTGTTCAGTTACTTATTGTATGGAGTGAACAGTCTGTTCTTAGAGTACAGGTATTTTGGTTCATTTGATAAAATAAAGTTGATGGTAGCAGTGTTTGCGGTTACTGAATACATAATGCATTTTGGTGAATGATGGTTTACATATGCATTGGAAAAACTGTACTTACTTTGGTTTCATTTTCAGGGAAAGGCACTCCTAGGGGACATAAAATTAGTGATTACTTTGAGGTAAGTTTACTTTTTTGGGAAAAAAATTCTGCAGTGATTTTTATGAAAACCAAAGTCCTTGTGTTCATTTACAGCATTAGAAAGCAATTATTTTGCCTTTGCTATGATTTCCCCACCCTCTTTCTCCCCGTCTTCATCAACCTAATGCTGCCCCATTTCTCAATAAGAGGAAATTGATGCTGACTTCGTAAATTTAAGGTTTTTTTAAAAATTATTATTATGTGTCTTATCTGTGATGATATAAGAATTCACATATAAGGTGATTTTTCTTTCCTTCTGACCAGACTAGGTTTTGTGTCTTTCAAAGATTAAGGTGGAATGACTTGGACTCTTCTTTTGTCCTCTTCCCTTAGTCCAGTGGAACATGGCCCATCCTTAGTGGTATTAAAGACTAACACCCACTGCACCACTGTTTTTCTGCTTTGTGTATTTTGAGATAAGAAGGGAATACATTCTTCTCTCATGTCTTTTCAAAACCACATACACTTTCAGCTTTCTAGTCATTTCTGTAGGAGCTCTCTTTCTTAAAAAATCTAGTTGAAAAGATAGTGGAGTTTGGCTTATGTGGCATTTTCTCTCTAGAATAAGATGTATTGACTTAAGGGGGCCATGTATAATTAACACCTGTTTGTGTTTTAATCTTTTACTCTCCTATCTGAAGCATAGTACTGTTTTGAATTATTCATATCCATTTTTCCCTGTTGGCCAGTTTGCTGGGGGAAGCGGGCCAGGAACCAGCCCTGGCAGAAGTGTTCCACCAGTTGCACGATCCTCACCGCAACATTCCTTATCCAATCCCTTACCGGTAAGCATTCACCTGGAGAAATTTGACATCTGTTATAGGAGACCAGAAGCCCAGGAACACTCAGCAGTTTTTTTTTTTTCCATTAATTACCCATGGGGAATTAGGCATCAGGGAGAGAACTTCATGCTGTTGCCTATGAATCAGACTTAGATTCATGTCAGTACCAGTAAATTAACTTTGTTCAAGAGCTGGTCCTATTCTCTCAGTATAATAAATTGCCTCAAACCTGTATAGCTCATTTATCTGTCAAGGAAGTGATTCCAGTCCAAACATGAGCTTTTTATCCTTGCTATACTCACATGTTCTAATTTTTTCTTTTAAAGTTTGTTTCAGGTCCTAGTATTTGAATTACCTCCAGGGCTCACTCAGTGGTAGAAAAGCTAATGCCATACAGATTTGAGATAGGTTTTTGCCCAGACTTTAAGTGAGATCCCAAGGTCTTAAAAACATTGTACATCATTAAGTGATTTTCAGTTTCGGGCAGTTAATGCCCCTTAGGGAATATTTGTCAATATCTGGTGTCATTTTGATTGTCTACTGGGCAGAGACTGGTAAACATCCTGTGAAGTTAGTACAGCCGCTATTACTATTGATACAAATGTCAGTAGTGGTGAGGTTGATATTCCTGAACTAGCCAGAGTAGGATTCTGTGTTAATTTGCTCCAGTGTCTTTGAATAATTTGTTGATACTAATCAAGACCTCTGTACTCAAGAGCACTCTGTCCATAATGCTGTAGGTGTTGCCTTAGGTGGGACCTTTGGGATTGGGGTTGCTGAAATTGTAAGTTTTCATCCTAGATCTGCTTGTTTAGGAAGGTTGTTTTTCTTTTCCTTAATAGAGTTGGATAATACTGCTCTTTTCTTAAGTGATTTAGATTTTTGTATTTTTTAAAGCATTTTAAAATGCACTTCCTTCCCTTCTACTAGCTCATTAAAACATGGCATCAGTATGATTGTAATTGTTAACATACTTATGAAAACATAAGTTAAAATGACAACTTAGGATTTTTTTGTTAGGATTTTTTTTCATCCTTACCATATTTTTTAAATGTTAGAAATGTTTAATATGTAGAGCTATTTGGATAGGTTCTTAGATAACTCTTGAGGAGGCTGGTGTCTCTTTTTCCTTAGGTTTTAAACCAATTAAAGTTTAAAAATATGAAATGAGATTGCAGATTATATTTGGCAGATATGTTTTGTTGCATTTCTGAATGTTGTCCATTACTTTTTTCTTCCTGAAATTCTTTTTTGATTTTTATATTGTGACCATCCATCATATGCCACTTAAGTTTGTACCTAAAGACAAAAGAGATGTATTTAATGATCTGTAGGCATTTTCTGCTAGCTTTATGAATATGACTGGACTTCATCATATGCAAATCTAAGCATATATAAGATATTGAAATAGGAACCAAACCTTAATTTCCTTTTTCCATTGCACTGAGAAGCTCTTTATCATCCCACTTATATTCTGTCCTTCATTATTATAGTCAATGATTTGTGTATACTACTTAATTCCTTTACTCTTTCTTCATCATATTTGCCTGGAAAAAAACCAGCCATAATTAAATCTAATTCTCTACCTTTACCTTGCCTGTCTTTAATTAAGCAGGTCACTGTGGCTGAAGAAAAACAACACTCACTCAAGTTGATTGATCTCACTTTATGTTCATGACCACTAACCTCAGGTGTGCCTCTAGTCGCCTGCTAGTCCTGCTGTATTTCTAATTAGTTCCCTTTCCTCAATGAAAATTTTGTCCTGCAAACCTCCAAACTTTAAACTGATGCTCTTGCTTTTTTATTTTACTGAGAGAATAGAAACAATCAGGAAAAGAACTTTCATGTGCTCCTACTTCACATCTGACATACTGTTTGAATCAACACCGGGCAGAGGCCAAGGATGTTAGTAAACATTCTATTAAGACAACCTCCCTACAGCAAGAATTACCTGATCCAAAATGTCAATAGTGCCAAGGTTGATAATACCTGAGCTAGATATTGTAGTAAGGTATGTCTTGCACCAGTATTTATATATGACTTTTGGGATGAATGAACTTGCGCATCCTTCACATGGGTTCTGATAATTATGTATCCAACTCCCCATTTGACATTTACATGTCTAAAATGGAACCCTTCATACCAAAACAACAAACTGCTCTTCCTATAATCTAACCTATCCTGGTAAATGGGCAGTGTTTTTCATCCAGTTATTCAGATTATAACTCGTTCCCTAAATATAATCCACCAGAAAACCCTGTTTTTCCTTTAAAACATATTAGATTCCAACACTTTTCTGATCTTTTGGATCTCTGCCTTAGTGTCCAGCATAGTCTCCCTATTTTTTCCCCTTGTCTCACATGTGCCTGAGTGATTGTTAAGAAAAGTCTCAGGGGCTGGGGTTGTAGCTCAGGGGTAGAGCACTTGCCTAGCGTGTGTGAGGCCCTGGGTTTGATTCTTAGCACCACATATAAATAAATAAAAATAAAGGTCCATTTACAACTGAAATAAATTTAAAAAGGAGAGAGCATTTAAGGATCACTCTGCCATTCCTCTGTTTAGAACTGTTCATTTGCTTCCGACACTGTGGCTTAACAGCCCCTGTGTGATCATCCCCCTGTCACCCATGCAGTGACAGCCACACTGGCCTCCTCCAACACTGTGAAGTGCTTTTTTGCTTCATGATCTTTGTCTTGTTATTCACTCATTCAAAACATTCTTTTCCCTATACCAACAATCACTTCAACATTTTGTTGCTCAAAAACGACGTTAGAGAGGAGGGGTGGTGCACTCCTTTAGTCCTAGCAACTTGGGAGGTTAAAGCAGGACGATCACCAAGTTCAGATCCAGCCTCAGAAACTTAGCAAGGCCTGCCTCAAAAATTTTTAAAAAGGGGAAAACAAAAGACCTTAGCAGAATGGTCTTCGCTGTCCAGCTTCTCCAAAATTGCAGTTCTTTAATTTTGTCACTCTGTTTCTAGTCCTTGAATCTTGTTTTTTAGTTTAATTCTTAATTTCTTCCCCCCATACCCAAATGCATACACACACATAAATTTTGATATATACTTAACATTTTTTAATGATTCACGTTTATACTTACAGAAGAGTACACATACCCAGTGTTAAGTCTGTAGTTCAGTGAGTTTTCACAAACTGTACCAGCATAAAAAACAAAACTATTACCAACTCTGTAGAAGTCCACTGTGTTCCCTTCAATTTTTTAACCCCCTCTCTGTCACCAGATATCACTGGTGTCTAGCATAACTTTTTTACCCCCTGTTTTTATACTTTTTGTAAACTTTTATGTCTGGCTTCTTTTTACTTGTGTGAGATTTATTCATATTGTGTTTATTGGAGATCATTGCCATTGATTAGTGGTATTTTTTAAAATAACGTTTTATTTAATAATTTATTTCAGTTTTTAACTCTATAATTTGTTTTTAATCTTCTCTGACTAGAATGATAATTTCATGAGAGTAGGGTCTTTTTTTTTTTTTTTTTTTTTTTTGCTGTTTTTTCTTTCCTCCTCATTTTGCTTTTGCAGTACAGAAGGGTGCTCTACCACTGAACTATATCCCCTGCTCTTTTTATTTTTTATATTGAGACAGAGTCTTGCTAAATTGCCTAATCTGGCTTCAAACTTGTGATCCTCTTGTCTCTGCCGCCTGAGTTGCTGGGATTACAGATACATGCCACTGCATATGGCTCTACACCTTTCATTCTTATACTTTTGACTTTTTGCTAATATGTTTTCTGGCAAATATCATACTGTTCTTTTTTTTTTTTTTCTTTATACAACCTAAAATTTTTCTTTTAACTTTTATTCTATTTACATTTAATAAACATCATTATACTGGGTTTATTAAATATGTTGCCTTTTAGTATGTTTTCTGCTTGTCTTGCCTCTTTTATCTTCTTTTTTCTTTCATGTTTTATTTTCATTTAGATAGATTTTTTTGTTGTCATTGTGTAATCATTTCATGTTTTCTTCTTCTAATAGCAGCTAGGTCCTCTTTGGTGTTTCTCTCAGAAATTCCAACATGCATATTAAATATGCCAATATTACCTTCTTCCCAAGTGTCAAATGCTGATCTTGGAGCACTAACTTATTTACCCTTCTACTGACTTAGTTGGGGGCAGGGGATGTTTTTTATTTTGTATTTTAAAAAGTCATAAGTCAAGCATGGTGGTACACACCTGTAATCCCAATGGCTTGGGAAACTGAAGTAAGAGGATCACAAGTTCAGAGCCAGCATTAGCAACTTGGCAGACCCTGTCTCAGATAGATAGATAGATAGATAGATAGATAGATAGATAGATAGATAGATAGATAGATAGAAAGAAAGAATAAAAAGCCTAGAAATATAGCTCAGTGGTAGAGTGCCTCTGGGTTCAATCCTGAGGACCACCAAAAAACCAAAAATACAAATAATAAAACATCTCATAAAACATTATTGTTTTATGCTCTCCCTATTCATTTAGATTTATCTATATATTTACTTTTTTGGAGGAGAGGGGATATTTTCTTATTGCATCTTATACCTTCTATTTCAAGTCACTTTCTTTTTTGCCTGAAGTATTCCTTTAATATATGTCTGCTAGGATTTAACTCTAGGTTTTTGTTTGTTGAAATAACTTTATTTTTCCCTGATTTTTGGAAGGTTTTTTTTTTCTTTTGCTTGTGATTTGTTGGGCTTTTAGAATCTGTAGGTTGTTGTGTTTTACCATTTCCAGATATAATTAGCCATTATCTCTTCATAAATCATTTCTGCCCCATTCCTTTTTTCCTCCTCTCAGCAAACCATGTCTCAGACCATCTATTTTATCACCACGCCTCATGCCTCTTAACTTCATTTTTTTATATTCTTTTTGTCTCTATTTGGATACTTTTGCCTTTCAGCACCAAAATTATCTGGGTTTTCACTCTAATTTGCTGTTAACCCCATTTGTTTCTTAATTTTTGTTGTTGCTTTTTTTTTTTCCCCAATATTTTATAGTTGTAGA